TTTTTTTTTTGGAGAGGTTTTTGCTATAGGGCGCGTGCGCTCGCCAGACAGACAGAGACAGAGAGACAGAAAGCGAGAAATCACCCCCCAGGGGCGATGGCCATGCCGCAATCCCTTCTCCTCCGTTCTCCTCTTGGGATCTTGGGCACGCACGCACACGCGCCCAGCGTGAGTTTTAAGCCACCGGGTCTGGGACGCGAACCGTGGTTGACTACGTGGGAGTCCAGCGACATAGCCATTACACTAAGTGTTGGTCCCCACAACTTATTTTTCAAGCCACTGTAGGCCAGGATTGAAAATGTGGTCGGCCATGTAGGATCTAGCTCCATTGACCACTAGTCTATGGGGTGGCCCAAGATTTTGTTACTGTTTTAGGCTGTGATATCTTTGTTAGTGTATTCTGATAGGCTGTGGTGTGTGCCCCTTGATTAGCAATCATATGGAAATTAAGTATTATTCATTAAGTGAATTTTTTTTTTTTTTTGCAGGGGAAAAGTTTTTGCTATAGGGCCCATTCACTCACCAGAAAGACAGAGAGAGAGAGAGAGAGAGAGAGACAGAAAGTGAGAAATCACACCCCGCCAGCAGGGGTGGCCATGCCTCAATCCCTTCTCCTCCATCCTCCTCTCAGGATCTTGGGCACACACGCATTCCGTATGAGTTTAAGCCATTGGGTCCAGGACTCGAATCACGGTCGACTACATGGGAGTCCAATGACATAGCCATTATGCCAAGTCCCATTAAGTGAAATTTTATAAACAAAATAGCTTTCAAAACATGGGCCCTCAGGAGCACGGGCATGTAAATTATTAAAGGGGATCATCTGAAGCACTAACTCAGTCCCACCTGCTTTTATTTGCTCTGAGTGTGAGGCTCGAAGAGAAAGAGGACTTATCCGAGGCCTGTCAGAGAATTGGGGGGCGGGCCCAGAACCTGCAAAACTCAGTTTTTTTCCTAAGCACTAGCAATTCATAACCTGAAAACGAGATTAAGAAAGCACTTGCATTTTTAACAGCATAAAGAGAATAAAACACTTAGAATTTAACAAAAGAAGTGCCAGTTTTGTACTCTGAACATTTTACACTATTGAAAGAAAGACTAAAACACCATTGAAAGAAATGTTAAAAGATTTAAACAAATGGAAAGATAGTCTATGTTTCTGGGGAGGAAGAATGAATATTGTCATGGGGCACCTGTAACCTA